AATAGTTTTTATATTATATTAAATATAATAATTAATATATGTCGTAATTTTTAATTATCTACAGCAATTCAACTTTATAATTTACCAAACGTTATTACATTGATTTTAGAACTAGCACAGCTACTATAATTATAGTTTACCAAATACTCAGCTTTTTTTTATAACAGCGCAGCTGTTTCTTCCTTCAGCACAGCAGGACTCCATTTTACGGTGTAGAGTTATAACAAATAAAATAAAATAAAAAATATGTTTTCTTATACGGTGACCTTAATCATTTTCGTTTTCTGGATAGAAGAGAGGCTGGATATCGCTGTCCGGGCACGGGACATTGATGCCTTGCATTCTCTGCTGAAGAAAGATTTATATCTTTTGGACAACTTTGAGGCGGTACATTTTGTAGATACTCCTTTGCATGTAGCTACATGAGCTGCAGGGCAAGTTCATTTTGCCATGGAGATCATGAGGCTCAAGCCATCTTTCCTGAGAATGTTGAATCCAAAATTCCAAATAGATATTAATCTTTGTAAATTCAATAAATTAGCTAGTGTTTGTATTAATACAGTGGATATGTTGTTTCTATTATTGGATTTCCCCACCCACACAACCCTCCCACTTTTTTTTTTTTTTTTTTTTTTTTTTTTTTTTTTTTTTTTTTGATTCTACATCGACAATGTAGAATTAACCAGTGCAATTTGGATTCAAGAAAAATGTTTAACAAAATCTAGAATTTGCTACATGGTACGAAACCGCCGAGGAATGAAGATTTCAGTATGAAAAATTAAGACGAGATTTGGATAATCTACTTAAAGCTCTGTGTGGATTTGGATGTAAAGGAATAACTCCTACCATTCCTATTTTCTTGTCCTTTGTCCCACCCTATCAAGGACTTTGGAATTACTATTTAGGAGACTTTTCTACACATCAATCTAATAGAGTTTGGGTTGTATATACACACAAATGAATACTAACTAGTAAACAAATTAGCATTAGTGGATGTTATTCAACCAACGTTTTCACTTCTCCTGTCCCCACACGTTTCTCTGATTTTATAAAGATTAGATTCGATGACGAAAGACAACCCTTGAGTTGACCTGGGCTTGACTTGTCTTCAGTTAATTTTCCGCAAAGTCTAGATGGAAATTTTCTTCTTGGCCAAAGGAAATGAAGAAGTGACAATGATGCATATAAAGCTTGCTTCTAGCGGGCATAAATTTAAAACAAACACAAATATTTACAATGATGCATATAAACTTTGGAATTATTATTTAAGTGTCTGTTGACACCACATTTTCTACTTTTCACACACCCTTTTTTAAAATGACTAAACACCCTTTTTTAAAATGATTAAAATACCCACTAATAAAATTACTTAATTTTGAGGACAATGGTATTTTAAAAAAATACTCATTACACACCTCATTATTACCCCCCATTTTAAAAAAAAAAAAAAAAAAAAAAAAAAAAAAAAGAGTGACTATAATACCGTATCCCTCTTTATGTCACCCATAACGAATATTTTAATAATTATCCAATTAAATCTAACGGCTTAGACAAAGAGTCTCATCAATTCTAAAATAGAGGCTACTTTAGAAAAATAAACCTATCTGTTTGACTTCCCCAAACTTTTTTTTTTTTTTTTTCTAACTTTACCTCCTCATTTTGTTTCCCTCAACGTATATTCTCCATATCTTTAATCTTCTTTCAAACTTGTAAAGAAGAAGATAATGGCGTAGATGGTTGATTTCTTCCCCTTTCGTCACTACTGGAGATTCGATTCGAATTGGAGGGTTCTAAAAATTAGCAGGTTTTTATTTTAATTTTTATATTTTTTATTTTTTGAATTGAGAGAGAAATGAGGAAATAATTGATTCTGTTAGGATCTAAAAGAGAAAACAAAAATAGAATTGAATGTTATTTGGTCTTGAAGAACAAAATTGACGTAAAAGAAAGAATCACAGTTTTGTAGCAGCCTTCTCAAGTAGTTCAATCTAATTCCAACTTAATCTCCAAAAGAGAACTTTCTCATACTGGAAAATCAAAAAGAAGATTTAAGAAAATTAACAGGAAGGACTACAGAAAGCATCAAGAAAGAAAAAAAATGATAATTATATAACAAAACCAACGTTAGCAGGAGGACAAAAAAAAAAAAAAAAAAAAAAAAAAGGCACACTTCAATTTCATATATATGAAAAAAATAAATAAAAGAAAGAAAATGATAAGTTTGATTGGTGGGTGAATGAGAGAAGGAAAATTTTTAAAATAGGGGTAACAAGTAGAATGAGGTGGTTTAAGAATGGGTGTGTAAAAAGTAAAATTGGGAGTCATTTAATTGTAATGGCTTTTTTGAAATTTTAACGGGGTGTAACAAGTGGAATGAGAGATAGTTTAAGAATGTGTGTGTGAAAAGTAGAAACAGAGGCGTCAATAAATGCACCCATTTTTTAAACACGTATTGAGACCTCACACGTTTCTCTGCTTTTATAAAAATGGAAACAAGAAAGAAAAAAAAAAACGTGTGTTGACTTGACTTATCTCCAGTGTTCTTCGAAGTCAATATGGAAGTTTCCTTCCAGCTGTAGGCATGCTTATAAGAAACAAGCACAAATATTTTTCATGTATTGAATTGTTGGAATTTAGTAATTAAAGTACTTAATTATTACCTTTGTAGATGGAAAATAGATTGGATATCGTTGCCCGGGAGGGGAATATTGAAGCCTTGTATTATCTGATGAAGGAAGATGCACATCTTTTGGAGCACTTTGAGGCAGTGCCTTTTGTAGACACTCCTTTGCATGTAGCTGCATCCGCAGGGCAAGTCCATTTCGCCGTGGAGATCATGAGACTAAAACCGTCTTTTGCGAGAAAGTCGAATCAAAACGGATATAGTCCTATTCATTTGGCTATGCAAAATGCGCACACAAACTTGGTGCTTCGTCTTCTAGACATCGACAGAGATCTCGTCCGCGTCCGCGGAAGAGAGGGTAAAACTCCTTTGCATTTCGCGGTTGAGTGCGGCGAGATTGATCTTCTGGCTGAGTTTCTATTGGTTTGTCCCAAATCCATTCAAGATTTGACAATTCGGAAAGAAACTGCTCTGCATGTCGCTGTTAAAAGTGATAAGTTGGAAGCACTCAAAGTCCTCCTGGGGTGGCTTGAGCACGTTGGCAAGAAAGGGGTCCTCAACTGGGGTGACGATGAAGGAAACACCATCTTGCATATTGCAGCAGCCAGGAATCAAACTAAGGTAAATCTTATTGCTAAGTACTCAACAAACCATTAGTTATTGTTTTTTTTTTTTTTTCAATAGAAATTAGTGAACAGAGTATTTAAAGAACCGGTTAGAAATTAGTTACTGTTTTTAGTAATGTTAATTATGTAAATGTTTTGTCAGACAGTTTATCGTCCAGTTTAAGGGCATGAGTGATACTAGACATTTAAAAATTAAGGTAAAATCATTTTGATACCCTGTGTTATAACAAAACATGTTCTTCGTATTATGTATTTTTTATAATATTAAACCCGTATCTCGACGTTTATAAAAATATTTTCTTGTTCCCTAGAAGCCGATTTTTGAGATATAAAATGACATTTGTACCCTTCTATTTAGTTAACTAAAAACTAATAAATCTATAAAAAAAAAAAAAAAAACTTTTTTTTATTTTGTTGTGTTCTTTAAAATATTTAATATTTTAAAATACTTTCATATTTTTTAAATATTAATTTTTATTTAATTAATGAGAATGGTAGTTTGAATATTACATATTTGTCCCAAAAATCAATTTAAAAGTATCAAGGATAAAAACATTGAAGTACTGTTTTAATATTATTAAAAACACATGATATTAAGAGTATGTTTTATTATAAAATAGAGTATCAAAATGATTTTATTCATTAGAAATTACATAAAGTGGGTTCCACGTATTGTGAGATCCACTCTACTTGAGCACATGTTGCACTACAAGAAAATTCATATTTTGCTACCAAAAATTTTGCTGCCAAAATTGCCCCTCTTATTAGAACTTAGATTTCTCTGTTTTTTCTTCTTTCTCGAATTCGTGCTCACCGTAGATATCATTTTCCCCCGCTTCTTATCTCTTCACATTTTTCTCTCAATCAATTTTTATCTAATAAAGCACGCTCCCTGAGCGTTTGTTTGGTATGACAGAAAAGTGGAAGGAGATAGAGACGGGTGAGGGGATTAAAGAAAGGGTTTTGAGACTTATGATTGTTTAGTAGGAGAAAAAAGATCAAATTGAATTGGCTTAGGGGTTTCAAAGCTTTCAAAAAAAATCTCAATTTTAATGCTCTAAGGCCTCGTTCATTTACCGATTCGAGTTTTTAATTTCAATTTTGTTACAGTTAAAAGCTCTAAAAAATAGTCACATTTAATATTTTTGCTACAGTTAAAAACTCTCACGTAAAGTCACATTTCAGTTCGAATTGAAAACTCGAATCGGCGAACTGAATGCAGCCTAAATATAAACGAATTAAAGGATGAAATCCATATGAAATACTCTAAAGATAAAGGTAATCTCTTTTCTTTCTATTTTACACACCAAGTTATACGTGGTCTTTCCCTTCTACTAAACATAGCCTAAGAGTTAATAGCTTCACCAATCAATAATTTTCACATGGAGGCATACAATACTAAAAGAAATAATACCTTCAAGAATCAATAGTAATTTTCCCCTTGAGGTTAATTATATGCGCTTTTGAAACTTGTGCAATAAGTTGTGACGTTAAGATGAACCTGAGAAGCTTTCTCCAAATCCTCTCTTCTCTGTGTCGTTTAGTTCTAAATTGTTGCTGGCATGTTACAGATGGTGAGACTGATTATCGATAGAATTGATCTAAATGCTAAGAATTCGGCCGGTTTGACAGCACTAGACATTTCACCAGAGCAAACACAACCCAACAGCGGCACGCTCAAGCTTATGTTGCATCGTGCTGGTGCCTTAAAAGCATCGGCACTTCCTACTGTCCCAAAACTCGCAGATTCACTGAAGTCAAAGATGTCATGGCGTGAAAAATGGATCATATCCGACTACCGCAAAAGACTCTACTTGTCAAATGAGGACCGCAACATCATTTTGCTCGTCGCTGTTCTGTTCGCGACGGCTAACTACCAGGCTGCACTTGACTCCTTCTCCAAGGGCGACGACGATGATCCCTCTACATATTTCGCATATTATAGTGATGGTGTTGTCCGTGCAATATTTAGTCTGGTGAACAAAATAGCCTTCCTTGCCTCTATGGTAGTGATATATCTCCACCTTCCAGCTGATTGTGGAATCCTGCGCTTAGTTTTACCTTTAGTTATCTGCAATTACGCAGTGATGAAAATTTACCGCGAAATATCATTTTCGTTAATGCTTTGTGTGATATTTTTTATGATCCTGTGTTATCACTCCAAGTTGGCAATAATTCTGCACAAATACGTCCCGATATTCGTACAAAAGAGAGTAATGAAGATGAAGATCACCATATTAGACCGTTGCTCCAGCTTTCACAGAGAATTGGTGGCATAGTTACTCCCCGCGGGAAGAACTCGAGATTTTTGAATTGGGACCCAGTATTGATCTTTGAAAACACGTTGTAAGTAATTGTAAGAATAGCTGATATATAGTTTACTGCACAACTTTAATTGCATGGAGGCCCTAGTACGTTTTGTGTTATAGTAGATAGTGCAAAATGTCATTGGCCTAGAGTAGGACTGAATTATGATTTCTTTGTTAAACTGGGAAAAGTTTTGTTCTTGTACATTCGCTTCTCTTATAATTGTTACTTCTTTTGTCCCTTTATTCCAAGTGTCCACACTTAAAATATATAGTAACTTTCTATATTAGAGTTCAACGAAAAGCAAGTCATTAATATTTAGCATTTATTACTTACAGAATTTTCCTTTCCATCTTTAAATTTGACGAGAAATACAAAAAGGTTTTGTTAAATCTTTCCATGAACACAACGTACAAAACAAACCATTGTAAGTTGTGCCTAAACAATTACTCAAAGGATCACAAATGAGAGCAAAACATATATACACCATGAACACACGAATTTAATGAGCGAGGTTAATCCAATAATTTGGATCTACGAAGCCATTTTTGCCAACAACCCCCATCTGGCTTTTATGTTTAAACACAATTCACCATAATTTCCCCACTACTTTTTTATCACTTTCTTAGAATTTTTGTAAGCCGAAAACGTAAATACGATTTTCAATGTAATTTTTACATTACAAACAAAAATTGTAATGGAGGCATATGGAAAAGAAAATCCAAGAAGATTCTTACACTACAAAAAAATTGACATTTCTTTAATTAGATGATGGTTTTATAAGAAACCGTCGCCTAATGTGTTAGCTAAAAACGCGGGCCAACTGGCAGAAACTTAGACTACAATTTCTTGTAAAACCATCGTCTAATGTTAGCGCGGAAACCCAAAGATAAAATTTAAGCTCGAATCTGCCTTCATTTCAAGAGAAACCTAACTCATAACCCTTCACCGTTTCCTCTCTCTCTATTCATGTGAACAATATTGCCGCCACCCACCGCCCAAAATTCTCTCTCTCTCTCTTCGTCTCTCTCGACGCCGCCACCGCCATTCTTTCTCTCTGTCTCTCTCTTTCTCCGTCTCTCACTCCATCTCTCTTCGTCATACGCTCCAAGCCACCCCGGTGTTTGCCCAACCAAGAAGCTTCGTCGACAACCGCCTCCGCCGCTCCAAGCCGCCCCAGTGTTCACCAAACCGAGAAGTTTCATCGCTAGCCGCCTCCGCCGCTCCAAGCCACCCCAGTGTTTGCCAAACCGAGAAGTTTCATCGGTAGCCACCTTCGCCGTCACCAAACTAGCCGCCACCAGCAACCTCTGCCGTCGCCGATTCACTACCAGCCACAACCTACAAATGACATTTTTTTTGTCAGTTTTGTTTTTAATCAATTTAAGTTATAATATTTTTTAGATTTGAAATTTATAATAATGCCCACAATAGATTAGACGACAGTTATTTTTAATTAGGTTAGATAATTAGACGGCGGTTTTTTTTTAAAATATTATATGATTGTTAAGATTAGAACAAATTAATTACGTTTCTAATATTATTTGAATATTTGAATATAAATGTGAATATTTGTTGCATAAGATTTAAGAAGCTTTAAGTTACTTACGTTAGGATTAGGAATGAAACTAAATCTAAATTTAAGTTATTTAGTACATTTTTTGTATATATATCGATTAGCTTAGGTTAATTTTAAGTTATTTAGTTTAGAATTAAGAATGAAACTAAATCTATATATGTTGATTCTTAGAAATATGGTGGGCCGTGATTGGTTTGAGGAAGAACTTAATACCGTACGAGAATTATTTGGGGAGGAAGGCACTTTCAATGGGGGAGGTCAATATGAACTTAGGAAAAGAATAAAATTTGACCCATATGATGATGGGAAATAAAGGGCAACCATAATGCGTAGAGTTGCCAAAATGAGGGATAAAGGAGAAAGAATTGAAGCGCAATTTGATGACCCCATTAGAAAAGTAGGGAATGAGCTACAAAGTTATGTCGGTGTTTTGGCACGTGAACACACATGCCAATAAGAATAGAAGATTGGAGACATTAAGAAAATAAAGATAACATGAATCGAATTTGGCATGATTTGGTTCAAAGTTTCACAGTTTTGGAGACCGCAAAAAAATACGAGCTTATTTGTGCGGTGAAGATGGCTCAGAACTTTAGGTCGAACCTATTCATGACCTTTGTAAAGCCGTTAAAGGATAGTCCTCAAGTCTTTGAACTTCAAAAGAAAGTGGCTAGAAACTAGCCTTCAATTACCCCGGTGTAAAGGAGGAAGTTTGTGGAGTATAGACTTAGTGACGATTGACAGGCCGTTTTCGAAGAAGCCTCTAAGAGAAGAAGATCGTACAAGTACCCGCATGGGAATGCTCGTAGGGATATAGGAAAGCAGAGGAAGATTATATAAGTCTTCAATTACTTTTTTTTAATGATATTAATTACCTTTTGTTTGTATTACAATCTTTAATATACTTTTTAATTGAATCCACATGCGAATGCATAACACTACGGAGAAGTCGGATCAAGCCACTTTATAGCAATTTATATGTAAAAAACCGGACGGAACATGCAAAACTCCAGAATGTGAGGAGATCGGCAAATTAATTGTGAGTTATTCCTTTTCTTTTTAATATTTGTTTGATCAATGGGAAATATGCCAATAAATTTATAATATTTTTGTTCTAAATTTTGTAGGACCAATATGCCGAAGAAGAGTCCCAGGAAAAGTTTAAATCAGGGGACAGATGATGTGCTTACCAGATCATTGGAAAACCCAGAACACTCTGATCGTGTTCGTGGGTAATCCCAATTTGTCAAAAAGTTGACTTATTTTTATTCCACCGGTAGATCAAGAAAGGATGAGGAGTTGGAAATGTTGCGTAAGAGGTTGTAAATAATGGAGGCAAGATGGGAAGCAATGCAATCATCCCATAGCCATACCTCAGCACCTGTAGGATAGGGAATGGGAGCTCCTACGGTGGATCAACGACGTAGTGTTAAGGAAAGTTTTATTGTCCATAATGCTACACCACCGGCAGAGCCCCCCTTATCAGGCCTTGGTGATGGCAATAAGTGCATTCTTCTGGCTCCAACAGCAGGTAAGAATAATTTCATCGTTGTTGCGATGGGGATGACGTGGATGGATAGTCGCCAAACTGATGTTGTCCACGGTGTCGCAATCGAGGAGGGAAATGTGTGCGTCTTTATTCAATTGACTTATGTGAGCAACACGCCCCTGCCTATCCCTACATTTGATAGCACGACTGTGGGTGACGCTCTTGAAGGATTTGTTGCATGGCCTATAAATTTAGTTGAACTAGGGTCGTTGAGTAAAGTTAGTAAAGCTCCAACCAGAAAAGAACTCGTGGAGAATCCCCCGGAGCCGGTGAAGAAAAAAGCTGGAAACAAAAAAAGTTGAATGGATGGCCACCTATCAAGAACTTAGTCTTGTGTGTATCATGGCTTACATGTGATAATATAACTATCCTTATTATTTTTTTACAATAATTTATTATTTATTATTAAATATATAATTAATTTTCTCATTTTTCATGTAGTCATTTGTGGCATGTGTGCAATTAGGAGAATGTCCTAGGACGTTAGGGTTTCATGTCCATGATGCTCACGTCCTACGTTCTAGGCCAAGCGGAGCTGGATATAGAGTGACAGACAAATGTCATTTGTATATTTTCTTTACAATCGGATGCCAAGCACACTTTCTTTGTGCCATACAATAGAGGAGAACATTGGATATTAGACGTGATATCTTCTACACAAGATAAGATCGTGTGGTTGGATCCTCTCACAGCGAAAGTACATGTAGACTTTAAAAGAATGATTGCCTTGTAAGTTTAGCATTCTTTATAACTTTTGAACTACTAATTTATATTATTTATTTTACTAATTAATTGATATTTTTCATCATTTATTAGTGCATTACGTGGTTGGGAGGCGCAAACAAGGCTTGAGTTTGAACGCCATGCAGATGGGTCTGATCATAACAAAGGTAAGTGTTCATAATTTCTTTCATTAAAATACTCGAATTTAAGGAATACCATTTTTCATGTACTATAATCTTATATTCATTATTAGAAAATTTCGACATAAGAGGAACACAAGGAATGCAGCTTCTTCATCTTACGGTATATGTGCGATATAATGAGAGTCGGTATTAATGATCTAAAAAACATAGAGGCACATACAAATGAGCATTTGGTAGAAGTTATAAATGAATAAGCACATTTTGTAAAGTGACATATAATTTATGTATACATTTTGATTTAAATATATATAATATTAATTTGTTTATATTATGTAACTTGTGACTTATGTTACTTGTGTGGCCAAAATGAAGATAAATCACGGGATTAATAGGTCAACCTGCGGCGAAAGGTATAAAACAACACCAATTTGTTTTGTGCATAAGGCGGATATAATGACGGTTTTTAACTAAAACAGTCGTTTTATTTTTTTTTAACGACAATTTCTCCAGAAACCGTCGTTTAATGTGCTTCCTAACCGCCAAATTTAACATTTTAGGAATATCTTATACGACGGTTTTATTTATAAACCGTTGTCTAATGTCTTATTTAACGACAGATAAAAACCGTCATTGAATTGTACATCAATTTATCGACTCTTGATTAGACAACCGTCATTGATTTAGGTGTTTTGATGGTTTGCCAGTTTCAAACCCATGTTTATTTGCAAAAACGAAAAGGTGGTCTTTTTTTTTTAAATAAATGAGACAAACATAAGAAAACACACAAACAGCATAAGAACAAGTAAAGCCAGAAATACATAAGCGGACCACTATCAGACACTACAAGAACAAGTACTGAGACAAAACACACCAACAGCCGCTGTAGGAAGCAGGCAAACACAGACACAAAAAAGCCAGAAAAAACAGAAGGAGAACAAACAAAGCAAAGGAAACTAATACCGTCAAAACAAAAACAAAAAAACAAAAAAAAAAAAAAGCAAAGGAAACTAAGGCCCATTTAAGGGGAACCATTTCTCAGTATCCTTAAGAACTTCTGTAGGAATATAGTCTAAATCTATGTCACCGAACACTAAACCGAGTCTAGGCTATTTAGCCCATTCATCCTAACAAAACCAACCCTCTTCTTGATTTGAGCCGGTTTAAAACACAATTCAAACTCAAAAAGTCATATTTAAATCCCAAATTCAACCCCACATTTTAAAATATAACTTAAAATTAAAGGTTTAAATCACTATAATTTAAACTCTCATACCAAACGGAATTAAATGTCAGATCTGCAAGATTTTAGGTGAGCAAATGTCAACATTAATAACTTTTTTTTTTTGAGTGGACATCAACAACCATTTTGTTACTACATTAATAAGAAAAACCCACCAGGGAGTGTTTTGAAAGAGCTAAAGATTTATTTATTAATTCTTATGGTGCTAGATTTTATCTCTTGTAGTATGCACGCCAATTGGAAAATGCACCCTTTAAAAAGATCCACCTTTTTTTGGTCAAATAAATGGTTTAACTGACTTATTTATTGTAAAGAATTGTTTGTTATGTCTTGGTATTCTCTAAGATTAATTGTAATATTTTTTTTTAGAATTAATTTCATAAATGGTCCTTGAAGTTTACTTTGAATTCTATTTTAATTTTTGACATTTTAAAAGTCTTACAGTCGATTCTGAGGTTTTATTTTCTTTCAATTTCGGGTTTTTCATAAAGTAGGCATTAAAATTGATGAAATTTATGTAAATTATGGACCAAAATTAGAAACAACTAAGGTTTTAAGTAAGGCCAGTAATATGGGTTACGATACAACAACACGACTCGAAAACGGCATGAATTTCGTGAGTTAGGGTTGAGAAAAAAGAGGTTCGAGTCAGAATTGGGTTGACCTAAAATTGACACGAAAAGCACGGGTTAATTTCAGGTTGGACCCGCCTAACCCGAACACCATACGAAACTCGTAAAAAACTAAAAAATATATATTTTTCATTATATATTTTAGATTTTGTTATGAACTTGTGATATGATGATAGTTATATACAAAATCTTATACTATTATTTACTTAATTTTGATGGATGTTATTATATTCTAGTGTGTTATGAATTTTAAGTTATTTCTAATATGTAAAAAGCTAATGAAAAATATATAATTTTCGTGTTAATTTCATGGGTCAATTACGTGTCACGGGTCATTTTCATGTCGTATCGTGTTGTGTCGTGTCGTGTCAACCCGTAAAGTTATCGTGGCGTGTTCGTGTTGCGGATTTTAAAAAATTTCGTGTCACGGTCATGTTCGGGTTGACTGTAAATTTAAGAAGAAACTATCAAAACACGACACGTAACTCAAATTACCACCTCTAGTTTTAGGATAATTAATGAAAATTAACTTTTGTTTTATTGTATTATTTTAGTACCTAAACTTCATATGTTTGTAATTTTAGTCCCTAATTTTTGCATACTCCGTTAACATCAAACTAACAGAATGATTAAAATTGAAACAAAATCAAATTTAAGGAACTAATTGTGGGGCGTTTTAAAAATTAAGGATCAAAATAAGATTTAGGATAAACCTCAAAGATTATTTGTGAGACTCTATTTTTTATTTTTTTAGTTGAATGAAACAATATCTTTATTTCAAAAAAGAAAAATACAGTAAATAGCATATTTTAAACATACTATTGTAATTTATAATGTATTTTTTTAATCTCAGTAAATTCAGCGTATTTAGAATTTTCATTGTAAAACAAATACTGATTTTCCAATTTACTAGTCTCTGATTTCTTTTTCTTTCTTTTTTCCTGTAACAAAACACTCAGGCCCCCTGTATCAGCCCCTCTCTCTCATCCTCCTCCGATTCACTCTCTCTCATCCTACTCCGATTCTCTCTCTCTCTCTCTCTCTCTCTCTCTCTCTCTCTCTCTCTCTCCCCCCCCCCCTCCCCCCCCCCCCCCTCTCTCTCTCTCTCTCTCTCTCTCTCTCTCTCTCTCTCTCTCTCTCTCTCATCCTCCTCCGATTCTCCTCTCTCTGCTTGGCGAGCGACAGACGCGGCGATGAAGATGGTCTGAGATCGTGTGGTTCGGCCGTTGTCAGAGATCGCGAGTCCCACCGCTGCTGTGTCTGCAGATCGCACGCTGTCGCCGTTCTCCATCTCCAACTTTTGGCCGTCCGAGATCGTGACGAACGTCGCGATTAGGAGAGGATCTTCGTGCTAGCGCCACCTCGTAATAATTGTGACCGTCGTGGTTTGGATGATCCTCGGCGTTCTGTCATGGCGATTGTAACGACGCTGTCAGATCCAACGATGCCGCGATCTACCGTTACGTCGCCTCGCGATCTCGTCGGATTTGTATGGTAACGGTGTCACGCCGGTCATCGGTCGCCGATCTCGTCACTTCTGTTCTCTTGTATTGAGTTATGCTTTAGAAGTTTGTTATTGAGGGTTGAATTGAAACTATGCTGCAATGTGCATACTGGTGGTAGTTTCATTGTCGTGTTTTGAGGAAAAAATCTATTTTGTGTTTTGTTTTGGTAATATTATTTGGTCATTTAGTAAGTTATGCTATCGTTATGGCGGAATGTACAAGTACACTAGGGTTAGGATCTGTTATTTGCACATATTTTTTGAAACATTTTATTTTATTTTTAGTTTGTCGTTGGAAAAACTGAGCAATTATTTGCATATTAAACAATATTGTTGCAGATTCTGATAATCACAAGTCAAGCAAGCTAATATTCTTATAGAAAGGATATTAATCTTTTTGTATGCTAGTTTGAATCTGATAAATACAGTATTTATCGGTAAATATTTTATTAAATTTGAGTTTAAATATGGTAAATATTATATTTATTAATAAATATTTTACTAAATCTAATTCCCAATTTGATAAATAATGTATCTAACACTAAATATGATATTTATTAGTAAATACAATATTTACCAGTCGTCGACGTCTGTTGTTGAATTTTTTAAATGAATATGATAAATATAGTATTTATCAGTTATTAGAGCCGATCAATAAATTTTTAAATGAATATGATAAATATAATATTTATCAGTCATCAAAATCAACTACCGATATTAATCATGGTAGACTTAACTAGAGGAAAAAAGAGAGAGAGGTAGGAAGGGAGTTTATGAGCATTTTTAAGTTTTTAATAATGTTTAAAATTTTAAATATTAAATTATATTATAATCTAATATTTTTTTTAAAAAAATTTGTTATAATTTACTATACACTCTACCAAATATATTATTTCTTTCGTTCTCCCTTAAAAAAAAAAGTCAAGAATTGTAATTGTGTCAGTCTAGATGTTACTGTAATTAGCAATCTATAGTAGTAAACACATGTCGAAAACTGAGCGTCAAATATATATATATATATATTGAGAATAGTTATATATATTACAATATATAGGATTAATTTAATTAAAAAAATCTCAACTAGGGCTTGTGCTTTTGTTTACCCCGCTTTTCAAAATATTTTTAATATTCCAAGATTCCGAATATTAGTAATAGTAATCCTTCTCTAGCTAATTTTTTCTGAATTATTCTCACCGGTGTCCCTCAATTTTAAATTTATTCTCACTTTAATTTTTAAATTTTAAAAATTCTCACTTTATCGTCATAAATTTTGAATTATTTTCACGTGATTTCATTATTCTTTTTTTTCTATATATTTTTAATTGAAATTACAATGAAAAAGATTAAGTGAGAATAATTCAAAATTTATAAGATTAAGTGAGAATTTTTAAAATTTAAAGAATAAATTGAGAATAACTCTTGAGCATCAGTAATAATAATCTTTTTTTCCCAATATGTTGAACGAAATATGACATGTAGCATATTTAGAGCCTTTCATTTGTACTGCATCAGTAATAATATTCTTTTTTTCCAAAATGTTGAACGAAATATGACATGTAGCATATTTAGAGCCTTTCATTTGTACTGGTCAACTATTGATTAAAACGACACTTTGCGAACGCGACTGACCAAAAGCTTATTATTCTAGTCAGGGCCAAAAAAAAAAAAATTTATGCTTTCACTATTTAATGTGCTTCTAGAATTTTACGTCGTGAGCTGTGACGACCAGCAATTTTGGTTTGGAGTGGGAAAGCAAGGACGAAACGAAAAGACACAATTGACATTTAACATCAACAAAATGGCACTTGACTTGGAGACGACAAAGCGTTTGGAAATTTGACTGTCAAAATTGGCAACTAATTCATTACCCCTTAAAACGGGGTAACTCTTTCTTTTCTTTTCTTTTTTATTTGTTTGTTTGTTTCTTTTTTTTTTTTTTTTTTTTGAAAAGGAAATTGGAGCTTTATTAATGAAGAACAGCGAAATCAGCTAGAACAAAGTACGATCAATACAATTAGGATAGCTCATAAACCAGTAGCAATCTGCAGTTGAGTACTTACTAGTTGCATTTTTTTTTTTTTTTTTGTTTGTTTGTTTCTTTTTTTTTTTTTTTTTTTGTTTGTTTGTTTCTTTTTTTTTTTTTTTTTGAAAAGGAAATTGGAGCTTTATTAATGAAGAACAGCGAAATCAGCTAGAACAAAGTACGATCAATACAATTAGGATAGCTCATAAACCAGTAGCAATCTGCAGTTGAGTACTTACTAGTTGCATTTTTTTTTTTTTTGCTTGATTTACTAATTACTATAAGTTGCAACTATTTCAACATACAATACTACTTGAACCTTCAATTAAGTTACGACAAAGTTTATAGGAAATTGTTATGAGATTTCTGCTAGCTAGAATATTTGAGTTTACTTCTTTTATTCATACTTGCGTGTGTGTGTGTATATGTATTAGATATGTGTGCGCCTCTGTGTGTGTGTAGAACTTTGAACTTAATTCTAATAATTGGTTGTTAATAATTTTGGTGGAGAACGTGCAGCAGTTAAAATAAGTGGAAATTTCCTAGTTAACTGTAAGTTCTTTCATGTCATGATTATACATGTTTCTTGAATATATAAACGTGTAGGAAGAAGGGCTCTAGTTTCAAAATTACTAGTATTAATTTTTTATTGTGCCAAAGAATTTCAGATTACCAATATTTCTTGTCATTATTGTCTTTTTTATAGCCATTATATAACTAATCAATATTCATATTTGAATCCTCCGGGTTTTTCTCTAGCATGGACGAGACGTTAAGGAAAGCTGCTTATGAAGGAGATATCAACTTATTGTACACATTAATTAAGGAGTGTACAAAAGTTCTTGAAGGCTTTGATGAGGCATCATTTGTTGATAACCCATTACACATAGCCGCTTCTCAAGGGCAAATACATTTCGCCATGGAGATCATGAGAGTAAAGCCATCATTTGCTAGGAAGCTAAACCGAGACGGGTTTAGCCCTTTGCACCTGGCTCTGCAACATGGCGAATCGCGGATGGTGTTCCGCCTCATCGATATCGATAGAGACCTCGTTCGAGTGCCGGGTAGGGAAGGCATGACTCCCTTGCACCATGTGGCTAAAGAAGGAAACTTGAAAGTCTTGCCTGTCTTCTTATCTGCTTGTCCAAAATCCTTTGAAGACGTGACGATTCGCAATGAGACGGCGCTGCATATCGCGTTGAAGCACGACAAAGTTGAAGCCTTTGAGATCCTTCTTAGATGGCTTACGGCTTTCTGCTATGAGGAATATCAGTTTGAGAAAAGGATTTTGAACTGGAGAGATGAGGATGGCAACACTTTGCTGCACATTGCAACATCAAGAAATCAACCCCGGGTAATTCTCATGTCCTTGGATCCTATTGAAATTTGTAAGAGTGGGACAATATTAAGTTTTCTTATTATAACTCTCCAGAGCTTGAATTTTAGTTTATATGAACTAAAAATTAAGCTTTCTTTCCTATGCCCCTAAACTATGTGCCTTGGTTCAACGTAGTTTTCGAATTTTTAAAAGGGTTTCATTTCACTCCCTACATTATTAAATAAAATCGTTTAAAACATTCCTGAACTAGATGTAATTTCATAAATACCCTTCCAAGCATTGATTTTGTGTCAATTTTCCCCCTTCCCAATTTTCAAGTTGACTCAAAATCAATATTTCAAGGACATTTATGAAATTAGAAGTAGTGTCACACCATCTTTTTGTCAGTATTATAAGTAAGGGGATGTTTTTGAATGATTCTATTTATTTTAGAGGCTGATATTAATTTTTTTATAAAGTTTAGGGGCATATATATTGAACTAGGATACATAATTCTTAACAAAAGTATTTGTGAAGTTAACCCTAAGGGTGAGTTTGGTTACAGTGGGGAAATGGTAATGAGAATAAGAATGAGAATAGTAATGGGAATGGAATGGAAAAGAAAATTGATTCATTTGTTTGGTTGTAATTTTAAAAATTCTCTGGAATGGAACATGAATATTTTTATGTTGACAAACTTACCCTTATGCTATATATAACATTAATATTTTATCTATCAATATAATATATAAAATGTAATATAATATAATAAAATTATTATTATGTAATATATTATATAATTATGACAATATTATTAAAATTGTTAATATAATTATAATATTATAATATATAAAATGTAATATAATATAATAAAATTATTATTATATAATTATGATATATAATATAACAATATTATTAAAATTGTTAATTATATTATAACTATAATATTATATATATATATATATATAATTACAATATAATATATAATTATTATTATATTATGTACAATAAATATATTATAATTATAATGCACTATAATGAATAATAATATTAGAATTATTAGTATAATTATGGTATTATTTGTTAAAATATTACAACTATATTATATTATATCATATTATATATATTATATTGTGATATTATTATATATTATATTATAAGATATAATTACATTACAATATATTATATATTATTATAGAATATTAAATAAATATATTATAATTTATAACTATATTATAAATTAATTATTATATTATTATAACTATATTATATTATAATATTTTTTATTATATATTATATTATAAGATATAATTACTATATAATATATTTTAATTATATTATAATATTAAAAGATAATTATAAAAAAAATAAAAAAAAATTTAGATTGACTCAAAATTAGTGAATAATCATTTCTTATAAATAATCATTCATTTCTTATAAAGCCAATTAAATATCCAATTAAAATTATATTTTATTATATTTTATTTCTTTTCACCTAACCAAACCCATCCTAAAATATTGTTTTTTATCTTCACTGTATTGGTGATAAGTGGTCCTACGTTTTCAACCAATAACATGTTAATTTGCGTGTTAACTCTAGACAAGAGATTAAGACGTAGGGATCCAGATAGCCTTACGTGTCAACATCTGTCACTAGTTGTTTAAAAATCATCATCACCATATTGATAAGTGACATTTTCCTTACAATACTTTTTGAAAGACCTTTTTTTGTGTCAAATTTCAAAATAAGTGGTCCACTTTTCTGTCGTATAATCCGTTCTTTTTCTTTTTTCTCTATACAGGTGGTGAACTTGTTGCTAAAGTCTAGAGTAGACGTAAATTCAAAAAACTTTATCGGTTTGACAGCCCTGGACATCTTAGAGCATCAAAGAATGCTGGATGACCAAGAAATTAGGGCCATGTTATTCAGTGTTGGAGCTATGGGAGGAGCTATTCTTCCTAGTAATTGCCCCTTCAAACGTTATTTAAGGTTAGAACTGTATTTCTATATTTAGAAAAATATACATATATATATATATATATATATATTGTTGTCTCACTTTCAGCTAAAAAATACAATGCATATTTACTTGCACTACTTTTTCTCAAACTTGCCTTAGTACATGAGCTCTTATGTTGGTAGACATCTGATGTAGAACAAAATTAGCAGCTCAGATTTTTTGAGGATTTACATTTTGGGCAAATATTTATCAACATTTTTCAACAAAAGAACAAATTTCTTTCCCTTTTCCCTATATATGGGAAAAAATTGCAAAACTATCTTGATCACATTTTTTCTTTAATAAAAAGGAACAAGTTAAGTAGGAAATTGATGAAAATAAAATCTATTATAGATGAATAATCCGATATCGATTAGTCTCTAATTGTATTATTAATGAATGGATCATCCTTTAATTGCTACTAACATATAAGCGATTCTACTGTGATTTATTAGAACGGATCAGAGGTTGAGGAAGGCGGCTCAAGAGGGAGATATTGATGCCTTATATGAAGTAATACAAGAGGATCCGAGCATCTTAGATCGCATCGATCAAATAGCGTTTATCGATAATCCTATGCACATAGCTGCATCAGCGGGGCATGCTCATTTTGCCAGGGAGACGATGATGTTAAAGCCAACATTTTCAAGGAAGCAAAACCAACATGGATTCAGCCCAATGCACCTTGCTTTGCAAAACGGAAACGACCGGACAGTGCTTCATCTCTTATCTGCAGACCGAAATCTTGTTCGTGTCAAAGGGAGGGAGGCCAAGACTCCCTTGCATTGTGCAGCTGAAATGGGAAATGTGGATCTCCTGTCTGAATTTTTAGCCGCTTGTCCGGAATCAATACGAGATCTGACGATTCGTAACGAAACAGCCATCCATGTGGCTGCAAAGAATGACCGTTTCGGAGCTGTTGAAGTTTTGTTAGGATGGCTTCAGCATGTTGATATGGATGTGGTCCTAGATTGGACTGATGATGAAGGAAACACTGCATTGCACATTGCCATATATAGAAATCAATTCCAGGCAATCTCTTATTCTCTCAATTTCCTTATTAATAACCTAAGGGGACAATTTAATCCCTGAATGATTATGCTAATTACTGGCAAGCTCTCTCTGACGAGTTAATTCCATCAATTTAAGTTGAAGATGCAGATATAGTCAGCTGTGTTCTTGTTTTTAACAATGATGCAGAAATGTTACTCAAATTATGTTGTCTTTACATTTATGCCACCCAGTGGCATAAATATAAGATATATGCTACTCAATTCACCTGAAAAAAGTCTAGTCTATTTATGTTTGGTGGCATAAATGTAGAACTCTTAAATTTTGATGGCATGCCATGTAATTTCCTCCTAATATTTTTCTCTTAGACATCATATTGTCCAATTATCATTCCTTGCATTTGAACAATGCAGGTTGTCAAATTGTTAATGAACAGGATTAACATAAATGCCAAGAATTTGGAAGATTTAACTGCTCTTGACATCTCCAAGCTTCAAGGGCCTGCGTGTGACAAAGACATATGGAATTTGCTGCACCAAAATGGCGCTTTAGGAGCTTCTTCACTACCTAGAGTTACCACCCTTGTAGATTTCTTAAGAACAAAGATATCGGTGTTCGAGGAAAGGATAACATCAACTTACCTCAGAAGATGTTGCATGTCGAATGACAACCGAAACGCATTGCTAGTGGTAGCTGTGCTGATTGCAACATCTACTTTCCAAGCTGCGTTAAGCCCGCCCGGGGGAACTAGGCAAGGTTATGGTTTCAGCACCAACTCCACTAGTGAACTAAATCAACCCGCATCACCCGTTGCCTTTAATGATATGGCTCCATGGATTTGCTTCTTGGCCTTCAACACTATGGCCTTCCTCACATCAGTATCAGAGATCTGCTTTCACCTCCCAAAAGGACTTTATTTCTCACTCAAGTTTGTTTTACCTCTTGTGCTATGTCATATGCTTTCGTTGAGCCTCACAACGGCCTTTTCGCGCGTGATACTGTTTTACATTATGTTGTTGTTTCTATCGCGGTGGAAAGCAGCAGCAAGGTTCATCTTTTTCAAGAGGTCTTTGGAACTTAAGCTTCACTTGTTGAAACATTGCCCCAACTTGCACAAAGAATTGAACGCATAAATTCTTACACCATAGCATATGTGCAGTGAAATATTTGGAACCGATCTAGTATTCTACATGATTGGTGTTTTACTGAATAAGTTGTTGATGCCTCAAAGAGGCTTTTGGCTTGTAAAATCAACTTGTTTCTAACTCTACTTATATGGTTTTTTTTTTTTTTTTTTAAAAATCAACTTGTTTCTAACTCTACTTATATGGTTTTTTTTTTTTTTTTTTTTTTTTAAAAAAAAAACCAAATAAACTAGAAAGGTATACAAGAAAAATGAGATAGAATAAAAGCTACCATAAGAATGCATATTTATAAACTAGTTTTAATAAATCACTCATATTCCCATCCAATTATATATTTGTTGTTATAACTTTTACATATCAACTCCATAACCGAGTAAAAAGTGGTGCTATAAACTACTCAGCCGTTCCTACAACTGTTTACCAGCTTCTTAACAACTATTAATTTCGTGTTTTCTTACATATCAATACACAGTTCAGAAAAATATAAGCAAGAAAGGGGAAAAACTAAGAATTTGATGTAGACTCTGATACCAACTAATGTAGGTTTTGATTCCAACTAATGTAGGGATAGATCTATTAACCTCTTAATTCACACAGAATCCTAGGAGAGTAGTTGTGCAAATACTCAAATTTCATATGTAAAAATTTCACCTCCTTACATGTGATGGGACCAAAAGATAACGAGAAACTACAAATAAAATTGAAAAAAAATAATTTGAAAATTAAAATAAAAATAGGAAAACTAAAATATATTTGACTCAAGAATGAAATCAAAATGAAATTTGACTTTCTTAGTTCAAATAATTACAAAATTAAGAATCCCATAGCCACGCGGTAAGTGGAGATAAAACTCTATCACTGAAGTAAGGAATGCTAAGTTTATTATTATTATTTATTTATTTATTACTATTATTATTATATTATTATAATTACTACTACTATTACTATTATTGTTGTGAGGAGTAATTCCTGAAAAAAAGAATTGATTATATATGTTGTCGTTTGGTCCTTTAGTAACTTATCAAAACACAATGTAGTATTTAGAAGGACCTCTCATCAAGTGACACGTGGAGAAGCAATAGTCGGTGGAGAGAATTCTAGAATATCTACAGCTATTATCTTCTTTAGATTAAAAACATCAAGACAGAGGTTAATTTTAGGGTTCTTCAGAGAGAGAGTTCTAAAGAGAGAAACAAGTGAGAGAAACTGTAGTATATTGAGAGATCTGGATACGTTTGTGTACTGGAAAAAATCTGGATAAAGAGAGTGATTTATTCACTGGGTATTTTTCCTGAGAGCCACAGTTGTGGTTGTGTCTCTACTCTACAGTTTTTTGTTCTGGGTTGTTTCTTCTTTGTAATCTCTGAGAGTGGCGATGATTGAGGGTGTAATCAATTCTTAACTAGTGGAAAGGGTTTCTCGCAAGTGAGCCCAACGAGGACGTAGGATTCTTTGAATCCGAACCTCGGTAAAATTCTCTGTGTTCTTTCTTTAAAGCATTCTTGTGTAAAATTTTTGAGCCTGTGTTAGGATCTTCCTAACAATTATTACTATTATTATTAGAAAAATATTAAGGACACCCACTCAAATCTCAATTTTTGTATATTAATTAGTGTGACATGTGAGTTATCATCTTTTTATTGGTAGATGCAATCTCTTTCATTAATTGATGTGGTAATGTTTTAAATACCCATCAATATAAAAATAACAACTCACATGCCGTTGATATTAAAAAAATATAATTTTAACGGATCTTATCAATTTTTTGTCATTTTCAGATGGTTGTCATTTCTCATGTCTAACGATTGACATGTTTGCCGTGTTTGGAATTTATCTCGTTTTTTCACGTTTTTTGAGAAAGAAAAATGATAACGTTTTTAAAACGGCATTTGGCGCAATAAACACAAAAAGCAAAAATGAAAATGATTTTTATTTTAGTATAAAATGAGAGAAATAAAAAATGACTTTTAGGAGAATTCTAGAATATCTACAGCTATTATCTTCTTTAGATTAAAAACATCAAGACAGAGGTTAATTTTAGGGTTCTTCAGAGAGAGAGAATTCTAAAGAGAGAAACAAGTGAGAGAAACTGTAGTATATTGAGAGATCTGGGTACGTTTGTGTACTAGAAAAAATCTGGATAAAGAGAGTGATTTATTCACTGGGTATTTTTCCTGAGAGCCACGGTTGTGGTTGTGTCTCTACTTTATAGTTTTTTGTTCTGGGTTGTTTCTTCTTTGTAATCTCTGAGAGTGGCGATGATTGAGGGTGTAATCAATTCTTAACTAGTGGAAAGGGTTTCTCGCAAGTGAGCCCAACGAGGATGTAGGATTCTTTGAATCCGAACCTCGGTAAAATTCTCTGTGTTCTTTCTTTAAAGCATTCTTGTGTAAAATTTTTGAGCCTGTGTTAGGATCTTCCTAACAATTATTACTATTATTATTAGAAAAATATTAAGGACACCCACTCAAATCTCAATTTTTGTATATTAATTAGTGTGACATGTGAGTTATCATCTTTTTATTGGTAGATGCAATCTCTTTCATTAATTGATGTGGTAATGTTTTAAATACCCATCAATATAAAAATAACAACTCACATGCCGTTGATATTAAAAAAATATAATTTTAACGGATCTTATCAATTTTTTGTCGTTTTCAGATGGTTGTCATTTCTCATGTCTAACGATTGACATGTTTGCCGTGTTTGGAATTTATCTCGTTTTTTCACGTTTTTTGAGAAAGAAAAATGATAACGTTTTTAAAACGGCATTTGACGCAATAAACACAAAAAGCAAAAATGAAAATGATTTTTATTTTAGTATAAAATGAGAGAAATAAAAAATGACTTTTAGTTATTTTTTATTTTTTATTTTCATTTTCTCCTCTCTCGAGCAGAGAGAGAGACATTAATAATTTTTGTATATTGAAAATAATCTCTTAATAAAATTACCAAACGCATTTTTAAAAATAATTTCTATCTGAGATTGAAAACATTTTCATTTTTATTTTCATAAAAAAAATCTTTTTTAGAATGAGATTTAAAAGCGCCCGTTGTTTTTTTCATTTTGCCGTTATTTTGATTGTTGTTGTCCTTTTTTATGTTATCGTCGTTTTTCACTCTCTTTTTGGCCGAGCTATTCATTTTCTGATTCAAATACAATGACTTGGTTATCTATCAACCGTAGAAAACCAGGACAATTCTTCCGGACAAACTTCAGTCTTCACGTGCTTAAATAGCTTTCTATTATTATTCGGGTTGTTCTGATTTTTCGGTCATTGGTATTTATGTTTCCGAAGGGTTGTGTCTTTTAACCGGTTCTGTCTTCTTTAAGACGACGTTTGGTTGGAGGATTCAAACCATGTGATTCGAATCATTTTCGATTTACGTGTATTTTTTATGAGAGAAAATACTGTAGCGAACTACGAATTATGATTCGAATCAGGGAACGAATCTCTCTACCAAACATCCTCTAAATATGTTGTCGTTTCTGAGGTTATTTGATCTTATACTCGTTTGCATGTCATTTTCAATATATTGTCGTTTACAAGTGTCATTCTCGTTTCTGAGGTTATTGTCTTAGTCAGCTTATCGTCTGTTGTTCTCAGTGTTAACTATTGTTTCCTCATTTTCCAAGATGATTTTTTTCCCCCCCTGCCTCTTCAAGTTGTGGCCGTTTAAGCACTACTTCTGTCGTTTTTAGCTATTATTGCGCTCCTCCTCCTTTTATTGTCGACTAGTTGAAAAGGTTTTGTAAGTAAAAATAAAAAAAAAAACATATTTGTTAAGATTTTATTTGGAGAAATTAAAAGAAAATTGTACAATAGGAAAAAAAGGATAAAAATAAAAAAAGAAAAGAAAAGAGGAAGACGAAAAAAAGAAAAAATGTATGATAGGGTAAAAAAGATAAGAATATAAAAAGGAGCCAAGAAAAAGAAAGAAGAGAGAAAAATAGAAAAGTTGAAAAAAAAAAGGAAGAAGAAGGAAAGAAAGAAGAAAAAAACAAAAAAGAAATAAAAGAAAGACGGTGGAAATTAAAAAAAAAAGTCACCAAAAGGGAGGTCGCAACAAAATATCCCAAAAAAAAACCATTCTTCCTTAGTAGAAAGTAGAGGTAAAAGTTCATACAGTCTGACCGGACCCGAATGAAAATTTCAGGCTCAACTATTTTTAAAAAAAAAAAAATTTAAAAAGAGAAACATTTTCATTTTCCAAGATGATTTTTTTCCCCCCCTGCCTCTTCAAGTTGTGGCCGTTTAAGCACTACTTCTGTCGTTTTTAGCTATTATTGCTCTCCTCCTCCTTTTATTGTCGACTAGTTGAAAAGGTTTTGTAAGTAAAAATAAAAAAAAACATATTTGTTAAGATTTTATTTGGAGAAATTAAAAGAAAATTGTACAATAGGAAAAAAAGGATAAAAATAAAAAAAGAAAAGAAAAGAGGAAGACGAAAAAAAGAAAAAATGTATGATAGGGTAAAAAAGATAAGAATATAAAAAGGAGCCAAGAAAAAGAAAGAAGAGAGAAAAATAGAAAAGTTGAAAAAAAAAAGGAAGAAGAAGGAAAGAAAGAAGAAAAAAACAAAAAAGAAATAAAAGAAAGACGGTGGAAATTAAAAAAAAAGTCACCAAAAGGGAGGTCGCAACAAAATATCCCAAAAAAAAAACCATTCTTCCTTAGTAGAAAGTAGAGGTAAAAGTTCATACAGTCTGACAGGACCCGAATGAAAAATTTCAGGCTCAACTATTTTTAAAAAAAAAAAATTTTAAAAAGTGAAACATTTGGGTCAAGCTTACCATGCCTAAATAAACATTTAGACTCGTAATCTTAGTCCGGTCCTGCTCGAGAGTTAAGATCAGTCTCGAACCAACAGTTACGGGCTTTAAACCGACCCGTTTAGCCCGATCTAAACTTACAATTCTAGTGGAAAGGTATGGATTTGTCTTTTTTTATGCTATCGGCATGTTAGTGCTTTTATACTTTTATCGTTGGTGATGTTTTTACATTTTGATGTCCTGTTTTAGTCGTCTTTTAATTGTTTCCTTTTTTTTTTTGGTCGTTTTTATGTTATTGCCCCTAACATTTTTATAGTTGTCCTTTGAAAGTCGGTTTTTTTTTTTTCTTAATAAGCCCTTTGAAAGTCGTTTATCATGCTATTATCGTTTTTGTTGCGTTTTTTTGGTCATCAGGAGATTAGCCTTTCATTTGTAGCTGCTGTATAAGCGAGTCCTAATACGTCTAGCCTTTCATTGTAAAGAGGTACCAACCACCTCAGTCCTGAAATCTGTGAATTCTAATTTTATATATATATATATATATTATGTATTATTTTCATTAAGTATTATATTTTATTAAAGTTAGTTAGTCATAATTGATTGGATTCCAAATAAAAATTTATTGAATTATTTTATGTCATGATGACATGTTAACTTGAGCTGTGAACGTTAAATTACTTTGAATTTTAAAATAATTAGATTGAATCAAATTGATAGTGAATTTAAATTTTGTCAAGCTGATAATTTTAAATTGAATTACAGATTGACTTTTAATCCACGGTTACAATTCGTGAACACGTCTGTTCTGTTAGGTCTGCAGCCACGAACTGCGACCCAATTTTATTATTGAATTCTATTATACAAATGTGAAATTAACATGACCATTTTTTTTGGTAAAATTAACCTCTCTTGTTCTCCCTTCAACAGCACAAGTGCTGATGTCAAAACCCATAAGACCCAAAAAAAAAAAAAAAAAAAAAAAAGAATAAAAGAAAAGCAACCCAAAAGAGGCAAAATGAAAGGGAGTTGTTAGTTTGCCCATAATCCAGTGGGCCATGTCATGCAAAAGCGAGTCTGGCTATTGGCCGTGATTAAAAAAGATAAGATTTTTAAAAGGATAAAGAAATCTGTCCGGTTGTGGTCAAACGCAAAAACTCAGTTACAGCTCAGAGTAGCATAATGGAGGCATAATGGAGCCTTAACATATAGTTGAGATAAGTTTATCCACTCTCTTAGGATAATTATCTTCTAGGGTAAGAATAAAAAATTGATCAGTAGATATAATCTAAACCGTTAGATTTTTTATTAGCCCTCTTTGTTTAAAGTATTTATTATCTGAGAGACTCTTTTATATGTCTAACGTATTTGTATTTGTATGTTAAGTTTTTTTTACTGTTAAATTTGTATATTTTTTTATTTTTACGTGATTTTATGTAGATCCAACGGAAAGAAATCTTAGGCTGTCGATATATTGACTTACTAAAGAAGGTTAAATAAAAATGTTAAATAATTGGAGAATATTTTCCTGTCTTTTTGTCAATGCGTTAATACTTATTTGAAAAATTCTCTAATATATCTAACGTACTGATAGATCAAATATTTTTAACTGTTGGATATATATATATTTTTTATCTTTTATATGATTTTATATTAATTTGACAGACTAATATATCAGTGTACTAAAAAAATCTCTACTTATTTTTCTCTCTCATAAATGTAGTTCTTAAATAATGCATATGGATTAGCGAAAAGTCATTTTAGAGTTAGTGAGTACTATAGTACAACTTTTTTTTTATGTACTGTTAGTGAAAACTATTAATTTTTTTGCAAGACGAAATTCTTTTCCCAATTACCTCACAATTAAAACGACCTAATTCTATTGAAAAATGAGATTCAACCTATTTGGCTCAAGTATCTTTAGCGTTGCTGTTCATTTTTCATAAGTCAATTTGCATTAAAATCGTGTGTTTTTTTTTTTTTTTTTTTTTTTTTTAAGGAATGAATCTCTATTTTAAACTGTTAGATTTGTATTTGATTTTAACAGAAAAGGTCGACAAGTGAGAGTGTGAACAAAGGGGGAGAGATGGTCGGAGCTTCAGTGTCCCTTCTAGGCGCATTGTTGGGCTCTGGACCCTAATAACTTGAGAAAAAGCTCACACGGCCATAGGTTGAAGTCGTGGTAACCTTGTACATCATTAGGCAGTATGTGAGGCAAATCAATATCGTGATGGTGATGGGAAGCCGAATGTTTGGATCATTGATCATGTTGTATCTAGCATTTAGAGACCGAGAACTTTGGGGCCTTCAATCCGTGTGGTAAGCATAAGATGTACTTAAGAATTTTATTATTTAATTAATAAAGTAGAAATTTCATTATTTATGTGTATGTATCATTGAAAATTTTATGATTATTTATGTAACCTTAAATATGGTATATAAGTGTTGTATACTAAAGGATAATATTTAAGGATAATAATCGAAACATATAGTCCATAATGGTTACCGATTAAAGTTCGAATCTTTAATTGATCACATTATTAATACATGTCATTCTCATTCTGAATGGAACGATCTTATACGATCGTTGATATGTCCAGATATCAAAGTGAGTGTATTTTACATAATGAGATTATGTAAAACTGAGACGCTGACACAATATGAATTTCTGATAATTTTCGTTAAGTATAAAAATTCTAATTGAGTCTACTAATGGTCATATATAAAATCATCATAATCTGGAGTTATTAGCAGACTCTTACTTATGGATATGTGTCTTTTGACTTACTCGGTAAAGATCTCGACACACTTAGATCTTATACTTGTATCTTGGAGACATGGAGAAATAGGTAGCCGGGAATGCCAATATTACAATATGAAATCCATTCATTCTTAAGAAAGAAGCAAATAAATAATTCCATTGAAGGTTAATTCGGTACTTGGATTAGTAGGAGCTCTGATTCATGAATGTGTTTTATGCATCACCATCCATTAGAGAATCAATGGTACTCAAGGATAAAGATGTAATTAGAGAGGTTAACGGATTTTACCTAGCTCTAATTCTGAATTATTTATGGAGGATCGATCTATATGCACGACTATATCAAATGGACACTTCAAGTAAGTAAATTATGTCTATAACTTTGAGAGTGCAATTCTAAGTTTTTTAGTAGAGTAACCTTTAGAATTAATAGATTTAATTAATTAATTAAAGAATTTAGTTAATTATTAATTTTATTGGAGCTCAAAATTATAGGTTCATGAGTCCCTGTGTCATCTTTGTAATATTTGCAAGACAAAATAAATTATCGGGATTTTATTTCATTCGCGAATGCTTAATTAAGAATTAATTATATATTAAATAATGTGATTATTTAATTATTTTATCACACACTGAGATGAGACCACAGAGGGCGGGTGACACAAGAAAAAATCCCACTGGGATTTAGTTGCTTGCTCTCCAAGTAATCCCATTTACTTGTTTGATAAGTTTTTCAATTAAATTCAAAAAGGAAAGTAAAGTGTTACTTTATTTGAAATTGAATTTGAGCTAAAATTAGAAACTGGAGAAAGCTAAGAATTTTTCATTTTCACCTTCATTTCTTAATGTTGGCCGGCCATCCTATAGTAAAAGGGAAGGAAATTATGTTTCCAAAATTAAAAGAGAAACTGTATTTTAAATGAAATTAAAAATATGGTAACTACCAATTTCTATTTACTTTGTCTACAAGTAAAAAGGTTCTCTTAATTCTCTATAAATAGGAGACAATAGAAATTGGAGAAAAAAATATTTTTTTCTCCTAATTCCCTAGTGTTGGCCGAATTTATTGAGAAAGAAAAAGAGAAGAAAAGTTCTTCTAAATCTCAATTTTTTCACATACATGCGTTGACAGTGAAAAAGAAAAATTAGCAAGTGATCATAAACAACAGTTCTACCCAAGAGCCCACTCTCTAAGTCTTTCAAGTTTCAAGGAGTAGACGTGAAAGGTTTGGGTATTATGAGAAAGCTTGGAGCTTGAATCGTTCGTTAGTCAAAGAATTCAAGTTATCTTCCTAATCGTTAACAATGTATAATTCTTGTACTAAATTAATTAGATTAATTTATTCGTTGTAAATTATTATATTTTATAGTGTTCACAAAAATTTTATGAAACTTTTTATTCGGACCCGATCCGTATTTTCACGATTCTGCACCCGAATTTGATTCGAAAACTAACATGTGGGACATCCAATGGTGAAGTCAGTGTTGTGTTACGTCGCTTGCCTCTCAAGGTCTGTTATTCCTAGCTAGTAGTCCTATCGGCGGTCGTCTCACTATTAGAGGCTTGGACAATACAGCTTAGAGAATTCTTAGGCCTCGTTCACTTCGCGGATTTGAGTTTTCAATTCGAGTTGAGATGTGACATTTTATGAAAACTTTTAACTGTAGCAGAAAAAGTTAGATGTGACAATTTCTGAGAGTTTTTTACTGTAGAAACCTAAAACTAAAAACTCGAATTGGTGAAATAAACGAGGCCTTAGTTTTTTTCTTCTTTTTTCTTGTTAGCATTTTGGTTTGTAATAATATGGTTCTTATCTCCACTGGCTTGTTTGTTTGTCTAGTCATTTGTTTAGTAGATGTTTAGTTCACGGATTCAGAATCATAATTAGAATCATTATCAATTTACGTGTATTTTATGTGAGAAAAAATAATGTAACAAGTCATGAATCATAATTCGAACCATGACATAAATCTTGAGCGTTTATTGGCATCGGTCGATCTTTAGTGTACTCTTTGGGCGTCTATTGTTTGTGAAGCTCACTCTTGAGCGTTTCATCCGAATTACAGGTGCAACCAATAGTTTGGATTGATGTTTATATTGTGTTTTCTTGCTATCGAATATTTTTTTTCTTTACAAAGATATCATAATTAATTATGACACAAATGCAAATTTTACATAATCTAATTAAGATCTAATGGTTTAAACCCCAATAAAGTCGTTTTTTTTTTTCTTTTTTTTTTCTTTTTTCTTTTTTCTTTTTGGTCGTCCTTTGTCACAAATTTCTTTCAATATTTTAGTACCCAACCTCTCATATAGTCAAGGGGTTGGGCTCACCCCACAAAGCGAAAGCCACAGACACTCTCTACTTGTAAGGCTGAGAGTAGCCAAAACCAAAGAAAGCAGCCAAAGCAACAATGTTCTGATATCCTCAAGCTTTCCTCGCACCAAAAAACCAAATGTCTTCCATGGCCTTGTTTTCTCCGCCCACCCATTTCCCAACTCTCTCTCCTTCTTCTTCCCTTTCCAAAACCCAGTTCTCCCACAAGCCCCATCTTCTTTTCAGACCCAAGTATCCTCTTCTTTTTCGCCTCAAGGCCTCGGCCGACAATGGAGCCGGAGCCCCCGGCTCGGCCGCCGCCACCGCCGTGGAGGATCCCAAGGCGCCTCCGAAGGTTCCGGAACCTTCCGAGAGCTCCGACGGGGCAAATGGGCTGGTGCCTCCAGCCCCTGAAGTGGGAGTTTTGAGCAAGTTTGAAGACCCCAAATGGGTCAATGGGACTTGGGACTTGACCCAGTTTCAGAAAGATGGAAAGACTGATTGGGACGCTGTCATTGATGCTGGTGAGCTTTCTTTGCTCTTTTTTTGTTGTTGTTGTCGTTGTTGTTGTTGGTCTAAATGTTTGTGTTTGCAATTCATTATAATTAGTTAAGTGAAAAAATATTTCGTTTTCAGTTTCTGTGATGAGTGTCTGTGGAAATTGTTCCAGCCCTGAATTGCAGTTAGCTAGGCTTGATTTTTTTTTTCTTGGGTAAGTTATAATTTTTAGTATTTATTTTGATTTCTTTAGGATAAAAAACAGTAGCAAAACAAACAATTTAGAGCTTGATATTCTTGAAAATGAGGCAGTTCATATTTAAAATTAAAGAATTCACTTTTTTTTTTTTTTTTTGAATTTTAGTCACCACCAAGTGCCACCCTTATCATCACCACAGCTGCCACAGAATCATCCTCATGCCACTGCCCCTAAACACCTCAATTACCATACTATAAATTGATGATGCAATAAATTGTTTGATGAGGGTGTGTACCATACAAAGTTTCAAAGTAGTTCTAATTCTAATTAAGTTGGTTTATGGTACTGGGATTTGTTCAAAAATGTGATTAGAGCTTGTTTGGTTGGAGGATTCGTTATCTGATTCGAATCATAGTTCATGGTTCACTACAGTATTTTCTCTCACAAAAAACACACGTAAATCGAAAATAGTTCTAATCCATGAACCAAACGGGCTCTAACTGATTTACAACTGCCAAGACCTTGCTTGAACTTTTCTCAAGGCCTTCGGGAACCGAATGATGCATTGAACAACCTAAGCCTTATTAGAAAAAAGTAGTTTAGGGATGGCATCGCGGACTTGAGCATGCAAGCAGATTTGGCCAATGCATCTTCCCTAAGCATTGTGATTAGGTAGAATAATTGTTCGTAAACTTAATGAGTATTTCCGTGGCCTGAATCTGAGACTTGAGGTGGACTAATTGTTGTACTGGAGCTTGTGTGTTTAATCATCCTAACGGGCGTGATCGAGCGTCTTTTTTCACAACTTTGATGATGGTTTTGTTGTGCATTTTTCCAGAAGATAGCACCTCCATAATCATTCATCACAACTTTGATGATGGTTTTGTTGTGCATTTTTCCAGAAGATAGCACCTCCATAATCATTCATCACAACTTTGATGATGGTTTTGTTGTGCATTTTTCCAGAAGATAGCACCTCCATAATCATTCATGTATGTTGAGCGCCTTTTGTACGTTTTAAGGAGAATAAGAAACCTGATGGCATGAAGTTAAAGTTCGATTGCATTCATTACGTGTGTGTGTGCGTGCGCATTTGACTTGTATCCTTCCTGATAATTTGGGAACTACTTGATTGAATACTGATAAACTTTTTGTCATGGTGAATTTCAGAGGCCAGGAGAAGAAAATGGTTTGAGGACAACCCGGAATCATCCAGTAACGAGAACCCAATAGTTTTCGACACCTCCATCATTCCTTGGTGGGCATGGATAAAAAGATATCACCTACCTGAAGCTGAACTCCTAAATGGTTCGTCGCGATTCATTCTTTCAATATGAAACATAACCTAGAAATTATGTTGGCCTTCTGTTAATTCATCATACGCTGTTTTGCGGGTTTTATGCAGGCCGTGCCGCTATGGTAGGGTTTTTCATGGCTTATTTTGTTGATAGCTTGACGGGAGTCGGTCTGGTCGATCAAATGGGCAACTTCTTCTGCAAAACCTTGTTGTTCATAGCAGTGGCCGGGGTGCTTCTAATTCGAAAGAATGAGGACATCGAAACGATTAAGAAGCTGCTGGAAGAAACGACCTTTTATGACAAGCAATGGCAAGCGACCTGGCAGGACGAGAACAAGATTGAGTAGCTAGAAATTGTTCCGGAGTTTGGCTTTAATGGAATTACATTGTTGTCGTCAGTTTTCCCTTTTGTATTTACCTGTAATTTTCTCGCGTTAGTTAAAGACTTGAAATATCTGCTTCTGTTAATCATTTTTATCTTTCTTATGAGCAAAACGTAGTTAAACAAGCATGTGAAGATCGCAATATAAAAGAGTTAGTAATTTGTTCTTTAAACTGCAAATAGTTCTCATTTCTCATCTTTCACCAACATTTTCTCTACTTTCTTACTGTTATACAACTGAAATGAACAAGTTGGTTAAGAAATCACAACAATTATGCTTCCCAGCCTCTCAACATGGTGGCACGAGCAACTCGGTGCGCTCCCAATGTAAATGCGCCCATTCGGAGGTTGCAACCATGAGTTTGACACATTCCCTTTATGTCTCCAAAAGCTTTCCTCATATACCTATTCAGCTCTCTGTTCACTTGCTGTTCTTCCCACATGAATCCTTGGATATTCTGCATCACAAACAAAGAGACAGAAACTAGCATTACGGTTAGGCTTCATACTTAAAGTCAACTAGAAGCTAGGAATTAAAAGCCTTAATTCCTACTATACCAGAGCAGAAAAAAAATAAATAAATAAAAGGGAGGAACAAAAATTTAGATAGAGTAGAGCTACGTCCACTTATCATTGCTGTAATGAGAGAAAGAAGTGCAAAATAAAGCACGGGAATTAAAGCTAACAAATATTCGAATACATGAAATACACCCGAACATTCATCTCCCACTAAAGAGGGCTGCTGCCCCGGCACCCCATCGAAGGTTGAACCGCTTTGGCCATCAGGAAAAAAGTTTAGTATAATTAAGCTCCACAGATTTGACATCCTCTCTTTTAAAATGTAGAGAGAGAGAGAGAGAGAGAGAGCGAGAGAGAGAGAGAGAGAGAGAGAGAGAGAGAGAGGGGGGGGGGTGGGAGGCGCACTATATATGTAGGTTGACAATAGAGAAGGGGGAAATGTAACTACTTTAGGTATTGAAACGATGACAGTGTTTCATTTGGTTTCTTTTACCTGAACCCATTCAAAGTAGCTAACAGTCACACCACCAGAATTTGCATAGATGTCAGGAAGTATAACAACTCCTTTCTTGGACAGGATCTGCAGAAAGGGATAGATTAGTTCACCATTCTTCAAGTTTGTTTGTTTTAGTGCTTTATTCCTATAAAGTCGATAAAACCAATATGGATTTGTAATACTACCTCATCTGCTTCGGGGTCGGTGGGACAATTTGCAGCTTCTACTATGAACTTTGCCTTCACATCAGCAGCATTTTCCCTTCATATAGACAAGAACAAGTAATTATAACTATAATCCAACTTTATCTGTCAATTAGTTCTATGGTGTTCTTGGTGAAGCAAAGTACATACTTGTTGAGAACACCACCCAAGGCACATGGAATGAGAACATCACATTCATGAACAAGCAGGTCATTAGGATCCATAACATCCCCACCAGGGAAATCCTTCAGATTTTCATTGGTTTCTTTGTGTTTCACCAGAGCTGGGATATCAATCCCATTTGGGCTTTCGAGTGCACCCGTGATGTCGCTAACAGCAACAATCTTACCACCTTTCTCATAGATGAACCTGGCTGCCCATGACCCCACATTTCCAAAGCCCTGAAATGGATTAACCACAAAATTGCAAATCGATATCTACCAAAAGGTTAAAGCTGTGGAGTGTAATCTACGGATCCAAACTTTTTGATACTAACTCACATGGCAGGTGAATTGTCATCTTTGGTAAATGCAACATGTCAAAGGGAACAATGCAAAAAGGAACCGGTGGTGTTCTAAACCATATTAGAGAGTAAGTTCCATTGTGGTCCCATAGTGTGCGACCCACAAGGTGGTCCACTTTTTATTAGTTGTGGTGCTCATGGTGTCCCATGTATTTTCGTAATATTAATTGATGTGACAATTTTCTTAGTATTTCCTAATGTTGGAGAACCTGTATGGCAAACTTCAAGTTGGAAATTGACTTCCCATATTCGGCTAGTAAAGCTTCTGTTGCGAAAACCACTCCTAGCCCGGTTGCAGCTTCCCTTCCAAGTGAACCTCCAAGATCCTAATTATTCCCAAATGATTGAAAACAAGATTAATATGGTTGTCGTCTTTTAATCTTATAGGCTTCTTATCTTCATATATTGATTAGTTTCACCACATGTTGATACTTACAATTGGTTTTCCAGTCACAACGGCAGGGGAATGCCCATGAAACTTTGAGTACTCATCAAGAATCCATGCCATTGTCTGTGCCCAATTGAGAATCAATAAGCATTTTATGGTCCCATAAAAAGGTACATAACACACCAAATGAAAAGGGAGAAACGTAATAATAACCTGTGCATTAGTTCCCATGTCAGGGGCAGGAACATCCCTACGAATTCCAATGAGATCATGGATTCTTTGAGTGAATACACGAGTTAAACGCTCTTGCTCACTTATGCTCAATTCCCTCGGATTGCATCCAATCCCACCTTTGGCCCCACCATATGGAATGTTAGCCACAGCCGTCTTCCACGTCATCAGCTGAGCTAGAGCATTGACTTCATCCGGGTCAACCTTGCATTAAAAAAATGATAGTTTAACAGTCACCTATAAGTAAAACAAGCATGGGGTCTTTCTTTCTTTCTTTTTGTTTTTTTTTTGTTTTTTGTTTTGCTAAAGGATGATTTCATTAACCTAAACAAGCATGGGGTCTATCTATCTTTCTTGTGCCACTCATCTTCACATGAAAAGAAAATAGAATTTTCAACTAGGGGTAACCGTGATAGCTTTAAAATTTCACCAATTCAGCTCAAAGAAGTTCCATTGGTGTCCTAAAAAGTGCATATCCAGCTTAGATATCATCCTTTTTCTTTTAACTATATGCTTAAAGTCATTTTAGCCCCTATATTATGATCCAAATCAATTTGGTCTCTGCTTTTAAAAGGTTCGAGAACGAGTCCTCCATAGGACTGTACAAAAAAACCGTACAACCGAAACCGACCGCCACCGTCCGAAGAATTGACAGCTCCAAAACTGAAAAATACGGTGCCACGTGAAACTGACAAAAGTCGGTTCGGTTAACATGTTGAATCTTGTTATCATGTTGAATCTTTTGCCGATTGTTATCATATTGTCTCAAGTAATACTAATCATGATTGTACATATTACACATACTTGTAATTATATTTTTTTATTCATTTCATGTAATATGTAAATTAATTTATAATTTTCTTGTAGATGATGGTGAGGTTGTTTCTACTCCAACATGTTCAAAGGATGGAAGCGCTTAAGTAAATGATGTGGAATCTTTTAAAAGACCCAAGTAAGATAATTAGAATTATATCTATTTCTTCTTTTTTTCCCATTATTTATTCAATTTCATTTACTTAATTCTATTTTTCTGTTGTAGCGATACATATGACGATATAATGGATTTGGATTTGGATGAGGATGAAAGGGAATAGGAAGCTTATAAGAAGTTGGAAATGAACTTCACTATTTAAAGTTGAGTTTTTTAATTATGCTTTGGATTTAGATATTTTGCGTTTGTGGTATTATCAATTTGGATGTTGTACTTTGTATTCATTTATTGTGATTACAGGTTTGCATAGAAGGAAAGTTTTACATTTTTCCGTATTTTTTGGTCAAAAAATGCAACTAAAGATGTTGGTATCCTAATGGTTAACTGATGGTCACTATCCTGTTTACCAAAACCGAAAACCAACAAAATACCGACTAAAAACCGATCGAAACCGAACGTCGGTTAACCAACCGAATAATACTTTCTACAGTTCGGTTTCGGTGCCCGGTTTTAGAAAACCAACGGTTTTTAACTGCCCAACACCCCTAGTCCTCGATCTATCAAATTATACCATATAAATCATTCCATCCATTCAATTGTTAAAATTCTCAACGGCAAAAGGCATAGTTTCCTTCTCACAATTGTGCCATAACATATAAAACTACAAAATTAACTCCCACTAAACGACACATGATCCTAACGTGTCTTTTTCTATTGAGATTTTTATAACTGCTGTATTGTAGCATGAAAAGTCTGTTTTTAACTGAGTGTCACAAAGAGTGTTATAACACTCGTTGTAACACTGATGACAGATACGTGCAATTGAATTTATTCTTTCTTTAATTCGGCAGCAACAAATTATAAGAGCATAAATATTAACAAAAGCATAAAAGACACTAGGAATTGATATCGCAGTTCGGTGTGCACACCTACATCTACGGGACCACACCCTGACAGTGAACAATCCACTAAGATAAAGAGATTATAGGCACCAATCGGTCTTACACACTCAAAGACTCTCTCCTTAATGTAGTTGCCGCTGTGGAGAATCCTCTTAGTGACTTTGTTCAGCGAGCACCACTCGTCTTTTATGGCTACCTCCCAAAAGCACTTTTTCTTCTTCTAAAACAAAAACTCCTTTTTTCTGCAGACTCATATGAAGTTTTTCTTCTCAGATCACTCACCCAACTCACAGAAGCAATACCACAATGTCTGCACCAGAAAAACGTTAACTCCAGCCCCTTTACTATCCCAGACCAAAAAATCCTCAAAACAAGGCTCAATCCCTCTAATGGATTCTTCTTATTCAAAGAACTCATCAATCACCAAAAGTCAATATTACCAAAAAAGACAGTATATCAATCAGCCATAATGAGGGGATCACTATTTGCTGTCAAAATATGATACAAAATCCTCCATGGTTGTCCACAGATCATCCTAAACTGTTTTCTTTTGGTTGTTTGAATTTAAAAAATATTTTGCCAACAAACTTATCAACATAGGCCTAACATAGCAAAAATAAAAAAGAAACCACTGCAGCAAATCAAATGACATCATGGAATTGAATGGAAGAACTAATTTAGCACGATTTGATAGATCAGGAACTCATTTTGCGACGTTTTAAGAGCCAGGGATTGATATGATATTTGACTTATAGTTTGGGGACTAAAAATAAACTAATAATGCACAAAAGCAGATTATAAGAACCCATACTAAAAAGCAACCAGGCACAGTGATCATCTTATTATATAGGCTAGCAAGTTAGAGCTCAACTATTTAAATTTGTCAATAAAAGAATTGGGGTATTTAAATAAAAAAATAAAAAAAACCTCAGGGTGGTAACGAATTCCTCCTTTCATAGGCCCACGAGCATTGTCATGTTGAACTCTGAACCCCACATAGGAAACTAGAGTTCCATCATCTTTGGGGATTGTACACTCCACCTACAAAGATTAACTATATAAGAACCCAATATTTTTTGTAAATAAAAGAGAGCAGGGAAAAAACAAAAAAATAAAATAAAATAAAATAAACTAGAGAAATGATGACCAATTAAAAGATGGTTACTTTGATTTCTCTGAAGGGGATTAAGAGGCTCTTTTCAAGCTTAGAGTCCAACCCCAGAATCCGACTTGCGTGGAGAAAGTTGCGGTTGGTTGCTGCAAGAGCGTTCATGGCTTGCTTCCTTGAAACCAGAAACTGAATTCCCAAAATTGGGAAAAGAAATTAAGAAAGATACAAAGGTCATGCTTGTGGATTTTTGTTTGAGTTGGATATATATATATACACAACACATGTAAGTGAGAGTTGTTGGAAATTGGGAAGTGGAAACTTGGTAGTGTGGGAAGCTGACAAGTACTTCTGAGTCCTTTACTGCATAGAACGGTGTTGGTCTTCAAATTTAAGTGACAAGTGACCACCCCACTCCCAGGAGGCGTGGACAGTTGTGAGCGGTTGCTATTGAATTACGCCTAGTTTTATATTTTTCACTATAAAAAATTTATATAAAAAATTATTTATTTTATATATTATTTTAATTTGATGTAATTTTAATGAGATTTAATAATTAAAAATTGTTATTATGCATAGAGAGATATAACAGAAAAAATCCTTAAAAATAATTTTAAAGTAGAGACTAAACTCTTATTTTTGTAAAATAAGATTCGAATTAGCTTTACAATTACCGTATTTAAAACTTTAGATCCTTACAAATCTAACACTGAATATATTATCAATTGACGCAAGTTACAATAAAACTAAAACTGATAAGTTATAAATTAGTCTTAACAATTGCTATCACTCAACGTAATAATATATTCTACTTTTAGGCACGTTTGGTGCACAATATTATATTACATTGTATTGTATGTATAATTTTATACGATACGGTGTTTAGTTTATAATAAATTACATTATACTATATTTACCATCATATTGTATTTACGTATTAGTTTGTAATAAGAAAAAATTTATTTAATCATAACGTCGCTCGGCCCCAATCTCAATTCAAACCCAACATTGGGAGCGGGAAACAAAGAAGGTAGAGTTGTTCAATAGGGATATTTTTGTAAAAAAAATTTTAAATTAGGTTCCAATTGCAATTTTTAAAAATTGGGGGGTAAAATTATAATTTAGAAAAATTTTTATGGTTATTACATTGTATTGTATGTATAATTTTATACGATACGGTGTTTAGTTTATAATAAATTACATTATACTATATTTACCATCATATTGTATTTACGTATTAGTTTGTAATAAGAAAAAATTTATTTAATCATAACGTCGCTCGGCCCCAATCTCAATTCAAACCCAACATTGGGAGCGGGAAACAAAGAAGGTAGAGTTGTTCAATAGGGATATTTTTGTAAAAAAAAATTTTAAATTAGGTTCCAATTGCAATTTTTAAAAATTGGGGGGTAAAATTATAATTTAGAAAAAGTTTTATGGTCAAAATATAATTTTAAAAAGTTTAGGAGTCAAAATATAATTTTTAAAAAATTGAAGCGTCAAAGCGTAATTTTTAAAAAATATAGACCCGACATCGCTTCGATATCGAAATTTAATCTCAGTGTCGGTCCCAAAACCCGATTTTGACTCGTGATATTTGTACAATATTTTACATTTTATAAAATTAAATTGAATAATACGATCTAATATATAAGTTTTTATGCGTATTAGATATCACACTATGTATTATATTAAATTTAAATTTTGAATTAAATTATACATATTATTCTTAAATAACACAATCCGTCTAACCAACATGCTCTTAATTCTTTCACACACTCTTATACATATATTATAGTGGATCAGTTTGGACCGATTACTTTTTTCACAATCCGTAATTGATCTCATACTTGATCTAGTTTTACAAAAGTCCAATCACTAATCAGTAATCTGCATCTTACGGATTTAATTGGATTGGTTTAATCAGTTATTTTGCAAATTTTGAACACAGACGTCATAGGTTTAGTAAGGGAAATTATGAAACCACCCTTTATCATACGTTTTCCTTCAAAAATAACCTTTTGCTTTTGAAAATACAATTTGACACCAATATATTTGATTTTCTTTACAAATCCTTCTCCAATCAACGGTAAAAATCATATTTCAATTTAAATGCGAGATTTACCCTTTTAAATATCGTTGAGGATACTAGACAATATTATATCAACGCATTTTGAAAGCATTATCGTCATCATCATCGTCGCGTTAGCGTTGCTGTTGTTAAAACATGTTAATTTAATTGTGTATTTATGATGAAACATTATGAGACAAACTTCCCAAATCAGAATCATTATGTTGTTGCTTTTAAACCTAATAAGCACTCATTAATGTCTAATTAATTGCTAATTAAAAAAGGGAAGGAATAATCATTAAGCTAAATCTTTCAGATAATTAGGCCAATCCAAATTAGAAGACGTAACTAATTAGATTGAGATGTTGAATTGACAATAAAATTTTACGTTGAAATCTCATCCACAAAGAATAAATAAATAAAGAAAAAAATAGTAAGAACTAATCTTTTAGATAATTAGGCGGATCCAAATTAGAAGATGTAATTAGTTAGATTAAGATGTTAAATTAACAATAAAATTTTAGGTTGAAATCTCATCCACAAAGAATAAATTAATAAAGAAAAAAAGAGTTAACTAATGATATTAATCTGAAACATAAATGCATAAAATACAAGCAAAGAGTCACGAAAAATGAATACAACCAATCTTTCACATTATCAAAAAGACACTTTTATTATTATTATTATTATTATTATTATTATTATTATATATATATATATTTTTTAACGTGATTCGTGCTAGGTTGGTGCCCCACTAACAATTCAGATGTCTGTGGTTTATATATAATAAACCATTAAGCATCCAATCATTTAATACAAAAATAATAAAGCTTTAGCTCGTAAGGTTTTAGAAATTTTTAGTACACTCAGAGTGCGTTTAGTTATAATAAGAGAATAATCATGATAATATGAATGAGAATGGTAATAGTAACGATAATAGAAAAGAAAAAAAAGTTGATTTATTTGTTTGATCATAATTTTAAAAATATTATGGAATAGAACATGAATATTTTTATATTGACAAAATTACCTTTATATTATATATAACATTAATATTTTATATATCAATATAATTAATATAATATATAAAATTTAATATAATATAATAAAATTATTATTATATAATATATTATAAAATTATATAATAAACGATAATATTTTAGTTATAATATAATTAAAAATTACAACTATATTATAATTATACTATA